AAACAAATGGTATGCCGTGGAATAGCATGAAAAATGCACTTAGCACGTTGCTGCAGCAGTGACACTCTGGCTGAATGGGATAGGAGACATGAGGCAGGCGACACCCGACACCCGGCACCCGTCTCCCGACAGCCGACAGCTGGGAATAAGCTGCAAGAATAGCAGCCAGCTCTTTGCCTAATGAACTGAGTGGCGACTCCCAGTTGCAGTCCCTAGGTTCTCAGCACCAGCACCTGGAACAGGAGCAGGACCAGCACCAAGACCAGGTGTCCAAGTGTCCAGGTGCCAGGTGTCCAGGTGCCAGGTGCGTGGCCTGGGCTTGGCCCCAGACGCTGATTAAGGGGACAAGCATGTCGAAAGCGTTCGTTAATTGAGTGCCTGGCCACCCCCCCAGGGACCGGCGATCGTAATGCAAAGCGATGGCCAGCCCAGGCCAAGAGCCGGGCCGCTTCTTTTCATATGGAATGCTGAAAAGTATGCTACGATGGAGGAATTTTCACGGAAGAGCCAACAGGAACTTCAATGTCGAACTCAAGTGACAATATTTACGGAAAATGTGGCATACAAGCCCCGCCCACAAGATATTAGCCCTGCCCTGCCCTGGCCCGCTCTACCTCCCTTCTTCTGTTCCTTTTCTTCCCTGCGGAGCCCACCCCCCTACAGCCCCCCTACAGCCCCCCCTACAGCCCCACACACTGTACTCAGACGTGAGTAAGTAGCCAGCGTTGAGTGGCAAGGCGGCTGCGGATGATGTCAGCGAATGTGGTGGGGCATGTGTCTGTGTGTGTGTGTGCATGCAACACAGCAGCACGCAGCAGCAACAACAAAACAGAGGCACGTACATACGTCCTCGCAGTGTCCTCGCACACTCACACACACACACACACATCTCAGCCAGCACTCCTTTTGCTCTATCTCGCCCTTTCTCTTCCACATATTCACCCATCTCTTTTGCACTCTTCTGCTTGGAGTCCCCTTTTCTTTCGCCTTTCCATTTTCATATGAATTTTCCGAGGATATGATGATTCTTTCCAGGTAGTTGCCACGCAAATAAACAGATGTATATTCCGCATGAGTCGGATTGCAGACTCATTCTAGAAGCTGGGAGGTCGAATCCAAAACGATGGGATCTCCAGAGTTCTATAAATACGACATATTTGATCGGGATCGAATTCTGTCACAGAAGCACGATGGATCTCAGAGGGTATTTGGGTATTCGGAATGCGGAATGCCAACAGATTCTTTCTGAAGGGAACAACACCATTTTATTTTGCGGCCATTGCGGTTCTTGTTATTGCTATTGTACATACATATAGATATATACATATTGGTGTTGTTGTTGCAGATATATTTGCTGGTGTTGTTGTCATTGTATTTATTTCAACAACAACAGATTTCAGATTCTGCTGCTGCTGCTGCTTCTGCTGCTGGATAAAATGTAAAAAGGCGCACATTTCATGAATGAACAATGACGACATTTTGACAGCGGCAACGTTTACCTTGCCCCGTCAACGCCCCCAACCCCACAAACCCCACAAACCCTAGCACACCTTATGCCATCCCAACACCATGCCCTGCCCAACGCCAAAGCCCAACGTCCCTCACTTCCACAGGGAGACATGTCCTGACATTATGTGGGGAGCGGGATAAAAGTGGGTGGGATAGCGATGACCATGCAACGCTATCTGTCGTCCATCACCTTGTCAAGTGCGGGTAAATTTCCTTTTACCTTTTCCTTTACACACACACACACACACACACACACACACACGCACACGTTTTCCGGGCGCCATAGCCACAGCTGTTGCTAGTATATCAAGCGCCGTTTACTAATCGGTGGAATGAACATGTGTACGGTATGTTATGGTACATGAGTTACCATACATATATATACATATATCTATTCATTTTCATTTTGGATTAAGTGCGCAATCGATTGGCCTACCAAGAATTTTACTCCCCACGGAAAGAGCATCCCTTTTCCGCATAAAATTCCTGGAAAATGCACAAAGTATCCTGATTAAGTACCCTCTGGAATTATGGATTTCTGCAGAACTTACTTATTACTCAATCTGCTGGCCGTAGTTGGGGCTTCAGTGAAAGTTAATTACCAAATTGGATTATTTATTATGTACATTATATTTTTCATGCCACGGCATTCAGATAACATCACAAATTTTATCTAACAAGCATAACTCTTTAAGGGAATCCAGAATTAAACACAAACCATTTAAGATGAATTAAGTCTGTTAAATGTTAATCGATCTATCCTTCCGTTTCCGCATCGAAAGTGAGAACTTTCGCACCAGCATCGATGGACGGCATTTTGAAAGTGAAACATGAGACTGCTCTGATGGTTTTGTCCGCTCTCGCTTGTCGATCTCCGACAGCTCCGCGTGGGCGAGCGAAATTGAATATTCAATTAAATCGCCTTCGGTTTCTCCTTGCACCTGACCCCGCCGCCGCTCCCGACCTCGCCGCTGCACCTGCCGCAGGGCAGGATTGGGGGGGTGGAGGGCTGTTAGCGGGCGACCTCCATAAATGCCAGGTCAACTGCAGCAAATGTGTAATGTACACCTGGTGCGTAAACCACCCCTTCCCCCGCCCTCCATACCCCTCACCCCCATCCCCAGGAACGGAGCCCATCCCATCCCATCCCATCGGCGGAGCCCCCTCGCACATTAACATAACCTTACATTATTCAGCTTTTCCAGTGCGTTTCCTTTTTGCACTTTTGGTGGCTGGATACCGAAAGGACCCGTGGAGACGGAAGAGCAGGAGGAGAGCCAGAGAGGTTTGCCGCAGATGAAGTCTCTCTGTCTCTCCTCCTCTCCCCTCCACTGGAATTTGCATAAATTTTGGTTCACTTGCTGCCGACAAAACCAACAACCAATACTTGCACCAACAACACATACAGCAAGTAGCAGGCAGCAGCTACTACTTGCAACACACACACATCCATGCGTACTTAAGCATCGTCGTGTTTCAGCAAGAGGCCCGGCTAATTATGCCATCGCCGTCGCCATCACCATTCGCCATAATTAGGCATAATATTTAAGTACACGTGCATGGGATCATTAAGTGGAGTTTCAGTCAAAGGCACATCGCAGGCCGTACCCGTATTTGGGGGAACGACAACAATCTCACATTCCAACAGAATGGCCAACTCTTACAATTCTATTTCAAAAATATTAAACAAGTATTTTTGCCGAAAATCTCTATGAAAACCTCGTATGTTCATACTATAATATCGAATTATATTTATACTTATAATTATAGCCTGTTTACACTGGCCTGCGTTTCCCATCGACATCGGAATAGGACGCAATGACGCAGTGCCTAAATTACTTGAAAGTATTTGTTTTATTTGTATTTCTCTCTATTATATCGTATATTTTGGGTAGTCGTGGGGTCAAGTAGTTTCTTTCACATCTTCGGATACTTGGTGTCGTATCCACACTTCTTAACTTAAGATGGAAATTATCTAAGAATTTATTAAAATCTTGTACGATTAAGAGATTATAACAGCCAGCTTTGGGGAATGTCGTTGAAAGCAACATTTTTTGAAAAGAAAGCCACAAACGAGAAACGACTATCTGGTATCCCAGAGGTCTAAGGTCCCTTACAGCCATCTCCTTTTGTTATATTCCGTTGAAAATCCAGATAAAAAAGACCACAAACGTTTGCAGTTTAGAGAGATGAACCATTTCCCAGACTCATACCTTTTCCTCTGCCGCCCCGCCCCGCCCCGCCTCGCCCTCTCTTTCATTCTTTTGTGACCCCATATCACCGCACCATTCCCTGTCACCTTGCCCCTGGCCCCCTACTGCTCTCACTGCCTTCAGCCTACAGCCTACAGCCTACTGCCTTGTGCATTGCATTTGCCTTTCGTGTTTCGTGTTTCGTGTTGCTGTGGCAACCGACAGCGACAACGACAACGACAACGACAACGACACCGACGGCCGTTAAAATGTGCGGCAAACACGCGATTAAGGGTTGGCAAGGGGAAGGAGGGGAGGGGGCTGCCACGGAGCGAAGTGCTGGCGGCCAGGAAATAGGCAGAAATCATCCAAATGCCACGCAAATGCCACGAAACGAAACCAAATGCTTTGCTTTAGGGGTATCCCCTAAATCTCCCCTCCCCCCACCCAAACACCACCAGCCCCCAACACAAGACCCATCCCCTACCTCCCGGCCGTGTGCCACCAAAACCAGTGCACTTGCACTGGCAAAAGCGCCAATGAAAAAGCCCCCCCAACTGGGAATGGAATTGGCTTATTGGTGACTGCTGCAGCTCTCGGCTGCAAAGTTGTTTGGCACGGGCCCGAAGTGGGGCACAAAAAATGAAGTCCCCGCCATTGCCTGCAACTCCCTGCGAGCCACAGCCCCGCTGACAACTCCAGTACCCGCCAGTCCCCACCAGAACCCACCGCCTGCTGCATTGTTTCTTTCGGGGTTAACTGCAATGCGCAGCAGCAGGCCGAGACGGTCAATGGAACTCTGACTGTGGCCCTGATTGGGGTGCAATATGATGCCTGATGGCGGTGGAGCTAGAGGGGTGATAGGGGCTATACGGGGTGCGGGGCCTCTTGACTATGCTCCATTGTACTTTTGAATGCTAATATAATCTTGAAATCACTTAATCGGTACGCAAAGTTCACTTTAATGAGCGGCAGTGCCGGGAATAGGTAGAACAATGGGTCGCATCCGTAGAGAAGGCATTTTTTTGGCCACAACGACTGCTGTCCGATGGATGGCTGGATGAATGCTGCGGCTCTTGAGCATTGTGCTTTGTGACATTCTAATTAAATGAAACTTAATTTGACAGATTAAGCCCCTGTAGATCGATCCTTCATGTTGCTCAAAGAAATTTGAGTAACTTCAAAAGAAAAACAAAACAGAAACAGTTCAAACAGTAGTCTGGCCTGTAAACGTACATCAGTAGAAGGAGATTTATTTAGTAATTGTGATTTTCAGTTGGAATATAATATAAAATATTAGAGACTAGATTTAAATAAGCGTTTCAACGATGAGCAGCGTCGCGTCTATTCTGGGCGGCAGTGTTGTGGCCATGGCCGGAAATGAATGCGTGGCCATTGCTACGGATCATATTATTCTTCATGATGGCGAAAACTACGACTTTGACTACGGAAATTTGTTCCAAGTGCATCCGTATATATATGTGGCACTCTCAGGTTTGTGGCATTCGTAAGATTTAATTACGCAAGTGAACCCTTGCCCCTTTCCGCTACAGGATGCGAACAAGATATTATTCGCGTGCGCAATCGTATGCTGCTACGTCAGAATATGTTCGGCAATGTAACGCCGGAGATATATGCTAAAAATCTTTCAAACTACCTCAAAGAGCCCCGTTTGAAGCCCTATCAAGTCGAGAGCGTTGTAGCCGGACTCAACACCGACACAGTGGAGCCGTTTATCTGCGGTGTGAATGGGAGTGGAGAACTCTTGAACTCCGAGGACTTTTCTGCATCCGGAAAGTGCCCTTTAATTGGTACCATGTGCAAGGCTCTCTGGAAACCAGATCTGAAGCCGTCCGGTCTGTTGGCTGTGATATCCGACTCCATCATGGGAGGTTCCGATCTCAAGGGCGCCGACTGCTGGGGTGCCACTATTTACGTTTTGCACAAGACTTCTGAGGAAGTTGTGGTGCTGCCCAGAGATTAATTTTTAATGTGCAATGCGTGCGTGTGCGAGTGTGTGCCTAAACAATAACAATAACAATAAAACAAGAATACACTATGTTGCAAAATTGAATGTGTGTGGTTCCTATAGTTCCAACTACTACGTATATGTAGGTGTTCAATCCTTGCGGCTCCAACAATGCATAGCCTTTGCAGGAAATGGAATGAAATGTATGCATCTCTGAAAATAAACGTTTCAGTAGAGTTTTTCGATAAAATAGCCAATGATATGATAAGTATATGTTTAATTGGACCAATTTTGCATAGTTCTTAGTTCTACACTCGCGTTTCTTCGGCTTTGTGAATAGTTGCTTCATGTATGCTGTCCTTGAGTGCGGTTATCCCTGGACAGTTATATCTCCTCATTTCATTAGTTCCTTGAATAGCTATCCTCCTGGTAGTTATCCTTGGAAAGTTATCTCTATTTAGCTGACCCCACCAACCCACCACCGACCCCACACCGTGTCATACCCTCCTCTCATGTTATGTCATTTGCCACCTATGAAAAATGTATTTATAACCGAAAACCCATTGTCCATGGAGTAGCCGTTGCCGTGGGTGAATGGGCTGGTCGGTGGAGACGTGGTAATGCGTTACAAGCGTTAACCGTTAGTTGACCACGCACACAGCAACCAACACAACTGCAAACTGCCAACACCAGCACGAACGCCGTCACCATCGCATGTGCATGTGCACAGGTAGCACTTATTTTTATATCTTCGTCCCTCCATGCACACACACACACCACACACACACACATGGTGTATTTGCACAAACACTAATGCACGTCGTTGCGAGCGTGACTGTGTGTGTGCGTTGATGTGTCGTAATTGATGACATCATGCAGCCAGCTACGAACAAATTATACAAGGTGGTGTATTCCTCTTCTCTTTATTTTCGGGCCTTATTCGACGCCATGTTTGATGTTTGATGCGGGAGAGAAGACAGAGAAAGAATGTACATATATAGAAGATGTTTTGTTTTGTTCTGCTATACTCACTCATCGCTCCTCTGTGCTGCTGCTTAAGCTTTGTGCTTAAAAGGCTTAAGTCTAACTCAAGGGAAGAAGTTGAGACAGTTTAGTTTTGCGATCTGGAGAGATCTCTCTGCCCCGAGAAGCCCCGAAAGGATAACGCGTTGCCGCAATACACCACCTTGTATAATTCCATCATGCACCCAGCCACAGCGTACTTTTCACCAAGTGCCGTGCATGTGCGTGCGTGTGTCCCTAATGTAGATATGTACGTCTCTCTGTATGTTTGTATGCATGAATTCTACAGTATGCTTGTTGTTTGTGTGTGCCTGGCCAATGCTCCAATTCGTAGTCGCCGCAACACCAACATAAATGTATTTTATGGCTTTTCGTTGGAAGGAAAAACATATCTACAAATTTTGGTATATATGTAAATGTATGTTTGTACAGATTAATGGATTAAATCATAAAAAACACATTTATAGGCATTGCTTGAACACGGCAAATATTTGAATTAACCGCCCTTTCCAAGGACAGTGCTGCCAAACGCAGTTTTTGCCACTAATAAAGGCAGTGCTCAGAAATGCCGCTCGTACCAATCGATATTTGATTTAGCGCGGTTTTTGGTATCAACCGCAACCATACATTATATAGATGTGTTATATCTCGCAAAGGAGTTTTCTGCTGGTTAAAGCATTCGTTTCTGCGGATTCGCCGAGTCTCTGAGTTGCTAATTCGTTAGTTTAATTCGTCTGTCCTGAAGAGAAACTTATACTTGCTTTCCAATTGCAGCTCCGGAAAGGTGCCAGTCCGTACTTTAATTACTATACATTGGTCGGACATGAGGTGATGATTGCGAACTGCATTTCCTCGCCGCGAAATGTACATGATGGCCCTTCATATACAGGAGCTGGAGCAGATTCCGAATGTGGTTCGGCGAAAATTTGCCCTAGATGGTCGCTTCCTGACGATCAGCTATGAGCATTCCCAGAGCTGCACTATGTCCCGTATGTAGCGCAAGACCCGTCAGCCGTAGAGCTCCGTACGCCGGAGAGATCCAGCACGGTGCCCAGATTGAGGAGCATCAGCAACGCCGGGGCCGCCGACACATATGTGGCTATCCGCTCATCGAGCTCGCTGGACAGGGGATGATTGCGCTGCCATCGGAGTGCCGTTCCGCCAGCAGGTTGCTGTAGCTGTTGTAGCTGTAGCTGACATCAAATTACTGGCTGTCCCTGTTAAGCTGAAGCTGCTCGATTCCATCGGAGCTAGGCCTGGCCGTAGTCCACCAGCCGATTGCCGGCCAAGTCCACTAGAGATACAAAGAAAGAGATTTACTTGATTATTTCATAGGATCAAAAGTTGTTGATGACTGAAACTGAAAGTGTAGCTCCTGTCTGTGAAAACTTTTTCCGCTTCAGTTGGGGTTTTCCAGAATCAGTGGACTTAGGGGTGCTCCATTAACAATTCAGATTTCAATTTGTTGCTTTTATTGTTGTGATTCTCGTTTGTTTAGTTGGTAAAAAAAAACACCACCATTTTCTATATATACGATTTAGCGTTAGACTACAGTATACATCATACGTACATATGTAATTAATATTTTCATTTGTGTATTGCATTTACTTATACATATACTCGTAATTGGCATACCACACTCCACACTGAACATATACGAGTACCCATGAAATGGGTGGGTATATGGCGTGTGTTCGTTCGTGTGTCCATCGACAATCATAATCATCATCAAATTGCAACTAACTAGTGCTGTGAAAGGGGATCAGGGGTCGTATCAAATAAAAGAGGGAATGAAAATGCAACACTCTTTGGACTCTGCTCTCCTTATCTCTGACTTTTCTCTGATACTACTAAATAGCTGATATATATTGTATTAAATTTTGGATTCTTGAGTCTGCATTAAAAATAGTATTTTTTTTTTTGTGGGGCCAATCAATGCGTACTCGTATAACTATATTTTTCATTCACATTTAATTAATTTTTGTTAAATTTTGGAAAACAAAAGAACAAAAATGAACTTATGCAAATACTTCCCGTCTCTTTCTTAATTGTGCAGCTGTCGCTCTCTCTATCTCTATCTCTGTCTCTCTGTTTTTGTCTTTTTATGCTGTCCTTCTCCTTCTACTTGACGCGATTTGGAATCGCTGCTAGTGTATTTTCGTAATACTTAATTCAAAATACTCGCGAAATGAAACAGTTTCGTTTAAAAAAATATCAATACACTTTATGCCAGGGGATATACATTGTGGGAAAAATAAAGAACGAGGGGTTGTGGTGGTGGTGTTACGTGGTAATTAATCACATAATTATAATCAGATAATCAGTAAACATATAATATTTCAAGTTGACACAAAGAAGGCGGCAGTGGGGTTACACTTTAAGCGTTACATAGAAGCTCGCAGGGAGCCACATGTAGACGGAACATTCAATCACACGGGGGGAAAAAAGCACATTCACACACACGTCTTACATAGCACATTGTCAGGCATTTCCCTTCGTTTCTATCGGGTTGAGGTCTCCTACTTCCACTCCGAAAGCCGAAAGAAAATATCAAAACTAAGGCTACACTTGTTCATCCTCGTCATCTCTCAATCCCAATCTCAACCAGAATCCTGCTCCTAGTTACTGATCTTTTGCAGTTTTTGCAATACTTTGAGACCCTGTTCCTGATACTCTTGCTTGGACATCCAAAAGCCGTCCCGATCCTTCGTCACCTCCGCCAAAACGGCGCCGCCAATGAAGACCATATCCTTCCGTCTCGGTGGATCCTCAATGCGTATTTTAAATTTCTATAAGACAAAAAACTATTGAGTCTCCAAAAATGTGAATAATGAACTCAGTCCATACCGCCAACTTTTCCGTATCGTTCTTCAGCACTCGCTCCAGATACAATTGCTTGATCTCGCGCTCCAATCGACTGGGCAGGCCCGGATACATGGTGGAACCACCAGACAAGACTATATGCTTGTAAAGCTCTGGCCGTATGTCGATGTCCGCCGCTTGGATCGTATTGAAGACCAGCTCCGCAATGCCGGCGCCCTCGACATTGATTAAATGCGGTTGGAATAGGGCTTCGGGGGCCTCGAATCTTTCGCCCCCCACCTTGATCACCCGACCATCGGGTAACGTATAGGACTCGACCAGCACCGTGGTCTCCAGGGCCAGACGCTGCTCCATCTCGATGTCGTACCCGATGTAGCAGAGCTTCTCTTTCATTATTCGAACTGTTTCGAAGTCAGCGGAATGATTGAAGGCGTATCCACGAAGTAAAAGTAACTGCAAAAGATTTTCAATCATATAGTATGTGCCTGACGACGCGTGGCAATCTCAAAAGCACGCACCTTAATCAGATAGCGGGTGATATCACGTCCAGCAATATCCAATCGACGCGTCAAATGTGGCAGGGCAAACTCCTCATAGACAGGACAAATGTGCGTAACCCCATCACCGGAATCGACAACAACGCCCGATATCAGGCCCTGGGCGTACAGCGTAAGCACCGCCTGAATGGCAATGTATGTGGAATCAAAGCCGTACTTCTCGAACATCACCTGAACAGCAAAGAGAAAAAGATAAAACGGATCGAGGGACACAAACGCAACAAACGATCTACCTCAATCATTTTCTCCCGATTCTTTGTGGGATTCATGGGTGGCTCTGTCAGCAGTATCTTTGTGTTTGTCGGATCAATGTCCATCTTCTTGGGCCCGAACGTATAGTCCCACACATGACACATGTCGTCCCAGTTCCGGACCACGCCGTTCTCCATCGGATAGGAGACCTCCAGTAATGATCGCAGCTGTGAGGCCTCATCGCCGACCATCAGATCCTGAAAGGTTTTTTAGTTTTTTGCACATTTTTTGCATCGTTAGTGGCTATCACACATTTCTCTCGACAATCTGGGACTAGGAGCGGTTGAAGGTTGAGAGGAAAGGGGAAAGGGTGAAGGGAGAAGGGTCGTGGGGTAGCGAGAGCTACAGACAAGAACAGAACCAAATGGGGGGTAAGGGTGCCTGTAGCTAATCCAAAGCTATATTTAACAAATCTAAACTAAGCAAA